GCTTATGTTGATCGTCTACATGTTGAGGTATCTGGATGGTTTCATTTGTTGGATGATTAGCTACAAAATGTTCGATTGCTTCTCTTTCACAGCTTGTAATTATTTTAAGTTCTAACTATGTGATTCTATCCTATTTATAGTTTAATTTGTTATTTGATTTCTTGATATTGCAGGTTGCTGCAGTCCCTGAGGATGTGGGAACTGCTGGTGCAATTAGGGCCATTGCACACCACCTGACTGCTGAAGACATATTGGTTAGCATTTGCCATCCTTCATAATAGTTGGCTTATGTGATAGAGTTATACTTTAAAGCATGCTTCATGGTCCTGCAGGTTGTAAGTGGTGATCTTGTTTCTGATGTTCCTCCTGGTGCAGTTGTGGCTTCTCATAGACATCATGGTGCAGCCGTGACTGTAGTGCTTTGCTCTGCTCCTGTCAGTGGAGCTTTGGAGTCAGGATCTGGTGGTGGAAAGGATAAAATCAAGAAACCTGGACGATATGACATCACTGGCCGAGACACTACTAAACAATTTTTGTTATGCATTGCAACAGGTTAGATATCAACGTTTTTTTTATTTTTTGGCATGTTATATGACCTGACATTGCAACATGCAACCCTTGGCAGGAGGTGAAATTGAGAAGGATACTCGAATTCAGAAGACCATTCCACTTGCACTTGGCCAGGTAATAGCTTGCAAGCAATCCTTCTATTAAATAGACTCTTTCGGCAATTGATCACCCAGAAGTGTCTTCTGTCTGGGTGTGCGTTCATGTTTCCCAATAAAAAGAGTTACTAAATTAACTTAAGAGGACCACCTGTTCAATTTTAAAGTCCACCAGAATATTCACATGCTGAATGCTTTGTTGTTAATCGAATTTTCTGTTGTATCCTTCTGTAGATGGAAATTAGATCTGACCGTATGGATGCTCATATGTATGCATTCAAAAGGTCTGTCTTTTGCTCTTGTTGCTCCTAGTTGATCCTACAAATTCAGTGTGCCTATCTTTTACTGAATCCTCATATATCTCCAGATCTGTTTTACAAGGAGTTCTTGATCAAAAGTATACATTTCAAAGCTTAAAACAGGACGTACTTCCATATCTTGTTTGGAGCCAGCTGGTTAGTCTAATAAGGCCCCTGAATACAAGGATGTTTATTGTACAATTTCCTTAGATCTCCAACTTATTTTTATGATTGTTTCTTGAGCATCAGAAATTAGAGGCTTTACCAAAAATATACACCACTTATGGAAGAAAATGGAAACCAGAAGATCAGTACCCTGAATAACCAAGCAACCCTGCCTCAGATACTTGCTAATGCATCTACCCCAAGCTTTTATGAACTCTATGAATTGGGTTCTAATGGTTCTGCTCCTATTTGGGAAAAAATTAAATGCTGTGCTTATATTGCCAGCAATAGCAAGTACTGTGCGCGATTGAATTCCATTCAAGCATTCATGGATATCAATCGAGATGTGAGTTTATGTGTTTCTTATTTGGGCCTGCTTATCTCAAACTACCGAGTTTTACTTGTTATTGCAGTTTTTGTTCCATTGAGTTGAGCTTATTCTTTTAATATTTCAGATCATTAGTGAGGCAAATCATCTGTCAGGGCATTCCTTCTCTGCCCATAATAATATCATACATCCTTCAGCAGAGCTTGGATCAAAAACTACTGTGAGTCCACTTTAATAGACAGGCGTATCTAACTTCATCATTGGTTTAGAGCATTGGATGATTATTATCTGTTACTTGTATGTGTCAAATTGTGAGGTTGTCTAGTTACTGATTTTTTTTGAAGTTTTGATTTGTTGATTAATTGACATGTGCTTGATTTATAATTGCTAGTTATACCCAATTCAGAAAAAGAAAAAGGAAAAATTCACTGAGGTTTTTGACTTTTTTCGCTCATTAAAATGTGTAAGATTCATTCCCAAAATTTGGATGAAGTATTAGTATACTAAGATTAAATAGAGGTACCATAAATCTCAATAAATTAATTATTAGTAAAATGATAATATGGGATAGGGGGAGTGAGAAACCAATCCATGTTAATTATATATTTATGGAGGAGTGGAGTGAATGGTGTTTGTTGTTTACAATTTCGGAATTTACTTCTCCAATCCAGTGTCGTTAGTCAATCTCTGTCAATTCGTATTTTTACCATATCAACCAACTATTCCAATCCCTGACGAAACTTGGAAAGAATTTAACTTCATGCGTTGTTGAGAGTCTTGAGACCACACTCATATTTGAAGGTTAGTCTGTCAATTCTAGTGTTCCCACCATAGACTATTCATACAAGCCACTAGCTGTGAGTAGTCACTTTCAGAAAATCATTCTTCTCCAATGCAAGATCATGAATGATTTCAATCTGTTCTACCACGTGACTATTAACGAACAACTCCAAAAATGTAGGACCTCCGGATGTATTATTTTGTTGATCACGGGTAGCTCTGATTTTATTTTACAAGGGCACCGATTTGCTAAAAATGGCATAAGAGCCAACATCCTCAACAAGGTGCCGATAACTTTGGTCAAGAGTTAATGATAAAATGACAGTCTTGATCTCTAACTTCTGAACTCCGTGTAACTTAATCCTGAGCTTTTTTATCTCTGCAATTGTACACTAAAAGTTATGATTTCTTTCAAAGAAATCCTTTTCACACAAATAATAAAAATTATATAGAATTAAGTCAAATTTTATAAATCATATTTAAATATCAATAATATCAAGACAAAAATTTCACATTAATTTGTATATAACTTCATGTCATCAATATATATCAAAGGTTAGTGATACTAATAGATTATTTTTTTATTTTAGATTATATAATAAAAATAATTTTTTATATGTCTTAATTTGTACATAATTACACAAGGGCACATATTAAAGAAACACATAATAAATAACTACTTACAGCTCCTACCGGCCCACCGAGTTGAATTCGCTTGTTTGGCTATAAATTATGAGGAATGTTAAAGTCATGCATGGAAGCCAGGAAAGCTGAGAGCTAAAACCACTTTGAGGATCTTCATTAGTAGTTATGCTTATGCCAATGTTTAGCCTTCTTCTTTTTCTGTTTTTCTTAGTTCTTCTTCTCCAGAAGATACAAAAGCGAAAGCAGCGGCTGCGGCTTCCTCCTGGCCCTCGAAAACTTCCTATCATCGGAAACCTTCACCAAATCGGAGCAATTCCCCACCAGTCGTTTTTTGAAATGTCAAAGAAACATGGCCCTGTAATGCTTGTTCATCTTGGATTTGTCCCAACACTCATTGTATCCTCTGCAGAAGCCGCAAAAGAACTCTTTAAAGCCCACGATCTCGATTGCTGCAGCCGACCTCCCTTGACGGGCACCGGAAAGCTCTCCTATAACTACCTCGACGTCGCCTTTACTGCCTATGGCGATTACTGGAGGGAAATGCGACGTCTGTACGTTACCGAACTCTTCAGCATTAAAAGAGTCCAATCCTTCCGGTTCGTCAGAGAAGAAGAGGTGGAATTCCTAATAAAATCAATTTCGGAATTCTCCAAATTAGGGACACCGGTCAACCTCAGTGAGAAGCTGATGTCTCTCAGCGCCGATATTGCTTGTCGGGTTGCTTTTGGAAAAAGCTTCAGAGAAAGGGGATACGATGATTTGGGCGCGGATTTCGAAGAGGAGATACATGAAGCTTTTGCTATGTTGGGAAGCCTTGCGGCCGCCGATTTCTTCCCCTACTTCGGTTGGATTGTGGACAGAATCACCGGTCTCCATGGAAGACTCGAACGGAATTTTAAAAAACTGGATGCTTTCCTCCATAAAGTCCTAGACGATCACCTCTGTTCCGCTCGCCTAATTACAGGGGAAGAACACGAAGATATCATCGACACTCTGTTAAAAATAGGGCAATATGAGACGGTATCCGGTACTGAAAAAATCACTCATAATCACATCAAAGCTATTCTTATGGTAAGCATGCTACTCGAACTTCCTCTGTTTTAACAATGTTTCTTCTTTTAAAAAGCTATTTTCAGCAATTACTCTTTAGGATTGAATGACTTCACAAGCAATTTTAAAAGGTTGAGGCCTAATAAGAAGAGTATTTATTCTGAAAATTTCAAACTAACCACCTTTGGATCTGTTACTGATCAGGAAATATTTCTTGCCGGATCCGATACCGTTGCCATAAGCATGGCTTGGGCCATGGCGGAGCTGGCAAAGAACCCACGAGTGATGAAGAAAGCACAGGAAGAACTAAGAAACAGCGTTGGGAACAAAGGTAAAGTCTCAGAAACTGACATCGAAAAACTTCCGTATCTGAAGGCGGTGGTGAAGGAAAATTGGCGGCTGCATCCGCCTGTGACATTGCTGGCTCCGAGAGAAGCCATTACCCGATTCAA